TTTTTTGAAAGATTAGAAAATTTTTATGGAGTTTTTGCTGAAAGAGAAAGAAGTGAAATGATGATTTATCATTTAGAACAGAGATCCCCAACCTTTTGGGCACCAGGGACCGTTTCCGTGGAGAGAGGTTTTTCCACGGACCGGAGGGTGCGTGGTTTTGTGCGCTGCCTGCATCTCGTGGATGGGGCTTTGCTTGTTTGTGCGGCCCAGTTGCTGGCATGCAGTGGCCCAGTACTGGTCCATGGACCGGGAGTTGAGGACCCCTGATTTAGAAGATTAAGATAGACTTGGACTAATTGATGGGCTGACAGGACTTATTGTATATCTAAGAGAGAGGAGCGATTATAACATTGTAACTATATGTTTAAAAGAAGGTCAGAAGTCATTATATTTCTTAACTTTAGTTTTTTCTCTTTTTATTTGTTGCACGTTTTTGCTTTGCTCTGCTTTATTTCTTTTTATTCTGTTCTTTATTGTATGGAAAAACTTGAATTGCTGCCCAGAGAACTTTAAGAATGCCTTGCACTATTAAACACTGGATTCTGAAGGATTGAGAGGAAGATTAAACATGTGCAAACAGCTTTTTAATGATATATGTTTCTATCCATTCATTTTCAAACACAGAATCAATCATTCTAAGTCAGATTGGTCAAGTATCAGGAAACTTGACAAGGCTTATCAAAGCAAAACACATTTCCTGGAATCAAAAGGTTAGTAATATTTGATTCTGAAAATCTGTATCAGTTGCAACTAATGTGATATATCACATATATTAAAAAAAATCTCCAAGAAATTTATCAGATACTTGAATGTAGATGCATAATAAATGAAGAACACGTGTTTTCGATGAGCACAATGAAACAGGAACTGCATAAAATGACTTTCCAAGGATATGAACAGCTGCGGACATTACCTCTTCCTCATATTCTGTATTAAAGAGAATTTATACTGTAAAGCTGACAGGTGAATTTAAAATTGAGTTAGTCTCCATAAAAAGGTTCTTAGTGCATTTTTGCTTCAGGAGATCCTCCTTTTTTCCCCATACTGTGATAAAGGACAGCATTTTTAATCTGAAGCATATCTAGGTAAGCCCTCTTTTTTCTATAAATAACCAGAAAGCTAAGTGTACTCTTATGTTTTTCTTAAACAATAGATCCCTTTGTCCTGCAATAAAATTTTATAGGGCCATTTGAAATGTAGTTTCCCAAGCCTTTGAGAAGGCTGACTTAAAAAAATGAATAAATCTAAAGCATACATTACAGTAAACCTGAGTAATCATCTCTCATATTGGGAAAAGTTTCATTTTCTGTCATTCCTGTAAGATATGTTAAAATTTAATCATTGCCTGCAAACAACAATGGCAATATTTTCCCCCCACACTCGCAGTATAATTTCTTTCTTAGGATTAGTTGAATAAGAAGTGAACAACCTTTTAGATTACCTGTAATAATGTGTATTAATGAGGTAGAAGAGGGAACAATAAACTACCTACTTTCTCCCCTGTTAACAGGAGTGGGCCAGGGGAAGAAGGAAAACAGCAATTGCCATAGACAGAGAAGAAGCAGGATCCCATTCATCAAGGCTACCTTCAATAGATTTTGGGATTTCCCCCCTTCTCCTCAGCCAGTTCAAGAGATATGGGGAAAATTTTAAGCATCATATTTGTCAAGAATATCTGAATATCCCTTTCACTGGTGCTTTTACTAATACACCCTAGCAATTGAGAAATGGGCACAGAGAAGATGCATTTATTTTTGGCTGGATAATGTCATATATTTCATCGTGAATGTGACTTAATGGTTTACAAAACTGCCTAAAAGTAGTATATACAAAAAACAACATAATATGATGATTTTGAAAAAAGTAACGAAGCCTGTTTTATGACAAGAATTCAAAAGCATAAAACAAACCCAGCAATCTCAGGTTATCATATATTGATTAAAAAACCAACTGTTTCTGAGAAATTATCGTGTGCTGCATAAAAGCTGAAGAATATTCATAGCATCAGAGGGCAAGTTTTCAGCTGTTCAGGATTATGAGATAATATTACAATTCCCATAAAAAAGAGCAAATATTTTAAAAAATGCTAGTTTCCTAGATACAATCAACTCCAGTGATTCACATTTCCTGTGCCAAAATATATTTGTTGCATCTACAGATAATAGTCCTCACTCACAATTCAGCACCACAAGGGCACAAATTTATATTTCAATTGTATATTCCTGAAACATATGAATACTTTATCTGGCATTTGGTTTATTTGGAAATAAATTAGTTTTTCACAGTATGGCACCTTCCAGATGTTATAGACCTTAATTTTCACAAATTCCAGCATGCATGACAAATGGAAGTTATGGAGGTTGAAGATTCTGGAAAAGATCAGGTTGGAGAAAGCAGTCACAAGAGAATGTGTTCAGAGTTCTTTGTGAGAGGGTTTGTGTGCTAGGTGCTAAAGTTTGAAAGACAAAGGCCACTCTTTTGGACAGAGAGGACCATTGGTTTGAAAGAGGGGTAAAAGAATCCATCTGCTAGAATTAAACACCCCTCCCTCAACAGAGGGGGAGGAATAAGGTACGTTATCTTCACATGCGCACGCAGCTCAGCCTGCAAAAGTTGAGCTGCACGCTTGCTAACCTGCTGCTTGTGCAAATCAAGCTGCGTGCATGTGCATGTCGGCTCGCTGCTTGTATAAATTGAGCTGCACGTGCATGCGTGTGCAGGGCCACCGCTTGCGCAGCCTTGTTCCCCTCTCCACCTCCTCAGCTGGGCCACCAAGCTGCAAAGATTGGGGACTGCTGTTCTAGAAGGTGAAGTGAGTGTGCCTAGTAGTTCCGCTCCAATTTTGTTCTTATGACCACCAGAGGCAGTCGAGTTGAAATGCAGTGACTGGGTCCACATAATCCAGAGAGATTTAAGAGAGAATGAAGATAGAAACATCAGCCTTTTCAATCTAAGTCCAACAATACATAATTTCATATCATACAGTTGTTATTTTCAGTGGTATATCATTGTAGGCATACCTGAAATTAATTAGCTAAATTATTGATTGACTAATTGATTTTAACTCATTGCTTCAAAATTGCCAGATTCTAGGCAGTTTATAGAATTTTTGCATTAAAACAGCATATAAAATCAGAATACAGGCAGTCTTGGGGTTACAGCAACAATTGGGACTGGGATTTCAATTGATAAGCAATGAGGTTATAAAACATGATATCACATGACCACATCCCATAGGAATGGCAATCCTGCAGCCTCTGTTACTGCTGTAACCCAAGGACTGCATGAGTTACTAAGGAAGAGGGGGGTCCCCAGCAAGCAGATCAAGACATATGGGGGTGCCATGGAGGCCAAGACCCATGTGCAGACATTAGGGAGTATGAGGGTGTAGGGATGGAGGGATGGAGGTCGGTAAGCAGAAGCCCAAGAGGACAGGGATATGCAGGTGCCACAAGAGCCAGGAAGGCCATGGGAGGTACTATATAGTGCAGGCAGGAATAAAACTGACAGAACTAGAAGTGATTTCTGACTTCCCACCAACTTTCCATTGATTTTGCTGGTGGGAAGCTGAAAGGGAACATTGGAAATTGGTCTAACATTATAATTACAAGCTGGGCATCGAGTGCCCATATCACAATCACATGTCTTTGGTGCAATAACACCAAATTTTGCAGACTGTCATAAATCTCCTTTGGTTAGCTGAGCTCCATAAGAAGTTGCTGAAGAAGTCATCATAACTTGAGGATTACCTGTAAAATGATTAAAATAGTAATTGAGAATACAAAGCTAAGTGGAAACAATTTCTACCCCAAAGTTTTCCAGAATAGCCATGGTTTCCCGTTTCTGGAAGACCATGAGGAAGGGGGCCATCTGCCCTTCAAGGAGAAGGCTATTCCAGAGGAGTAAACCATATTCCTGAATTAAACTTATCATCCCTTTTCCAGAAATGAACGACATCTTTCTGAAATCTCTTTCTGTGAATACATGGGAATTTGAAACTATAATATAAGCTTTTGAGACAATGTAGAATTATTATTGCTATGGCTGGTCACACAGTCATCCAAGTGTTTAGAATGGATTTGGCATTTTTGCCCACTTATTGAGTCCTCCCTTAGAACTTGGGCTAGGCAGATATTTTTGGTTAATAATATTAAATGAGCATTGCAGCATGTAAGCTGTTCCAAGTAAAGTTGCTTTTTGCAATTGACTGATAGTGATTTTTGTGGATGCCGATGGTCTTCAAATGATGTTCCAGATGTTTTGGGATTGTACCCAAGTTGCCCATCACTATTGGTACTGTCTTTGCTTTCTTTTATCACAATTATTCTTCTATTTGCAGGTCTTTGCATTTTATGATTTTCTCCAGTCCTTTTTCTCTCTCTTCTGCTGTCAGGTACTGCCACATTCACTATCCAGAGTTTTTGGTCTTTATCGACAATTGTTAAGTCTGGGGTTTTATGTGGCAGGTGAATGTCTGTTTGAATTCTAAAGTTCCAGAAAACCTTAGCTTCTTCATTTTCTATTACTGTTATTGTTACTTGTTTGGATTAATGCAATGTGGTCTACATAAGGCTTTCAAAGATCACTCAGGTTCAGAATATAAGTTGGCAATTAGTCTCACAAGCATATTGTACTTCTTAATGCCCATTTAATAGGTTATCTTGCCTATCCAATAGATTTTCAGAAGCAATTCAAAGTGGCTAGTTTTATCTTTTTAAATGCTTTATGACTTGGTGCCTAGTTATTTACAGACTTCCTTTTTCAACCAGAGTTGATCCATATGATATGGTAATATTGGTAGAAACTATAACTAGTACCTAATTTTTATGAAATGTATGTAATGTATAGCATATATTTGCTTACATTACTTAGCACTGAAAAATATAATTATGATGGCAGTTTATCATGCATTAGAAAAAAGTGGAGAAATAATATCAACAACCACTGAGAAGCTCTTGCAATGTGTATTTTATTGTAATGTATATTGCTGGATTGTACTATTATACTAATCAGATTTTACTCAATATAAAATTATAATTTAATAATTTATATTATTTGTGAAGGCACATGGAATATAAAACAACTATTATAATTTTATTTTGCTACAAAAATATTTTTGTTTATAATCATTTGTATGATGGGGATATGTTTTGGCCTCTATTGTGAAACAACAGCAACATGAACACAAGCATATGTTTCCTGAAATGGAATGCATTTTCATCTGTGTATTTACATAGTAGTTTCTTCCCACTCTAGTTCCACATCACCTGAAAAAGAAAGAGAACATTGATTGAACCTTCTACATATTTATCTTAAATTACACATACAGGGTTAGGAAGTATTTAAAATATATTACATGGAATTCTTGTGCTTCCATTATCAGTGGAAGAACAAGCTACTTATTTTTTTAAAACAATCATCATGATAGTTTTGTTAATTGTTATAGTACTGACTAACACACATATATACACATTCTATATACTCTATATACGATATAAGCTATATTATATTAAAACAAAAGTATGCATAAGTACTTAGTGATAAAAATACATCAAAAGGTATGTAAGAAACATTTTGTATTTTGAGTAAAAATGGCATATAAGAAATGAAGCAAAGAGGAAAAATGAGGTTGGCAGAACTAAGGCAAGAATTGGATCCAATAGATCACCGATAAGATAAAAGGGCAAAATCATGGATCTCAATGGCAAAGTATTTTTATTGAATCTGGGAGTTGACAGGATACGTCTGGGACAATTCCTTGAACAGTGCAATGAAATAATTTATTATCTTAACAGTAGAAATCTGGATAGTGATGAGTTACATCACGGCCAAAAATTATCAGATCATAAAGTAATCACTTAAAGAAATTTACTAGAAGGACTTTTGCTCCCAGTTTTGTGAAGGATGAAAAAATGGTATGATAAGGTAACCGACTGTATATTGTGGAGAGAGCAAGAACAAAAGCATGTGACTGAATAAAAATACAAAGCCAGGGAATACCATTATTAATGTATAAAAAGAGGAATTGGCTGAAATATGAGAAAGTTCTGAATAAGAAAGTACTTCTGGCTGATGCCAACAATTAGGTTAGGATGAAAACTATAGAATTTCATGAACTTAGTCATTATGCAAAGATGGTGCCTTTGCTTTTATCCAAAAAGCTAAATACCAAAACATCAAATTAAGTGATATAAACAATTCTTCTCAAAGACAATTTTCAAATATACCACAAATAAACCCACTACCATTTTTTAAAAAAATAATTTTTATATAATATATTTATATACCTTCCATTGCATCCAAAGAATCCATCTTTTGCAAAACTGAATAGTTAACAAAACATATAGGCTGGTTGTTCTTGATTGTCAGCAAGTCCAGAATACACTGATGTAAAAATATGTACTGTGCCTAGAAAGTGTGAAAATTAAAAACGTTTAAGCTTTATTCACAGATATCTTGGTGCTAACATGCACTTGTTTTGAGGCAATTTTTGAATTCAATATTCAGGATACTTTTAGAAAAAGCAACATTCTTACCACTAATTCATATTTTGGGGGTCTTCTAGAGCCCCTTCTAGTTAGATAAGATTCTATCACACTTCTTATTGCAGCTGCTTCAAAGAGATATACAGAATAACAGAGCTGGAAGGAACCTTAGAGGTCTTCTAGTCCAACCCCCTGCTCAGGCAGGAAACCCTGTACCATTTCAGACAAATGGTTGTCCAATTTCCTTTTAAAAACTTCCAGTGTTGGAGCATTCACAACCTCTGCAGGCAAGTTGTTCCATTGATTAATTGTTCTAACTGTCAGGAAATTTCTCTTTAGTTCTAGGTTGCTTCTCTCCGTGATTAGTTTCCATCTGTTGCTTCTTGTCCTGCCTTCAGGTGATTTGGAGAATAGCTTGACTCCCTCTTCTTTGTGGCAACCCCTGAGATATTGGAACACTGCTATCATGTCACCCCTCGTCCTTCTTTTCATTAAACTAGACATACACTATTCCAGCAACTGTTCTTTATATGTTTTAGTCCATTACCCTAATCATCTTTGTTGCTCTTCTCTGCTCGCTTTCTAGAGTCTCAATATCTTTTTTACATTGTGGTGACCAAAACTGAATGCAGTATTCCAAGTGTGGCCTTATCAAGGCATTGTAAAGTGGTATTAACACTTCATGTGATCTTGATTCTATCCCCCTGGATATATAATGAAGAAAGATACAGTATGAGGATGGGATAGCAAAAACAGGGGACCATGTTTCCATCGCCATGTGTTGTGGACTGTCGGCTGCCGGAGGACTCCGCAGCCAACTCAGAGGAGGAAGCACAGGAGTGGGCATCGGGCCCAGCATCAGGACCATCCAAAAGCTCCGTTGGGGAAGAAGGAATGGAGCTGTTGCATCCAGGGACAGAGGCGGAGACTGGGTCGTCCGCCAGCCCCCAGATGGAAAGGCTGAGGCCTCTATGCCTTTAGGCAAGTGATTCAAGAGAGGATCACATGGGGCCAGTGATTGATGCACGGGTGTGGCGGAGGCTGAGGAGAGGAGAACAGTGAGAGGCTATGGGCCGGTTTTTGTGGCGGAAAAGTCACTTCTGCTAACAGAGCCCCACCCTCAGCTGTGGATAAAAGGCAGGGGCGGAGACGAATAGGTGTGGCAGATAACTATTCATCTCCCTGCTAGTCAGCCACTTCTAATTGGAACTCCTGACCCTTGTTTGGAAACTTCCTGACAGTTAGAACAATTAATCAGTGGAACAACCTGCCTCCAGAAGCGAATGCTCCAACACTGGAAGTTTTTAAGAAGAGACTGGATAGCCATTTGTCTGAAACGGGATAGGGTTTCCTACCTGAGTCTAGATGACCTCCAAGGTCCCTTCCAACTTTATTACTATTATTATTATTATTATTATTATTATTATTATTATTATTATTATTATTATTATTATTATTATTATTATTATTATTACTCATTAGACGTGAACCTCAGTCAACTGAACATTCAAATTGACTGGCGCTGATGGTTGAAACGGGTTGCAGCCAGCATCCTAGGTATCAACCAGGTATCTCCTTAAAATATAAGATGTTCCGAGTAGCACAGTTTTTTGTAGCATCGCTGGAGTTATTGCAGGAAGCTGCAGTTTCTTGAAATATTTTGCAAAGTTTTTGGACATAGTTCCCAGTGCCCCAATGACAATGGGTATCACTGTTACATGTTTCATCCATAATCGCACAGTTTCAATGGTCAGGTCACCATATTTCATAATTTTTTCCAGTTCTTTTTCTTTGACTCTGGCATCTCCTGGTACAGTGATATCAATCAGCTGTATACTTCGATTCTCTACAACTGCGATATCTGGCGTGTTGTGTTCCAAATGGTGATCTGTCTGTATTCGAAAGTCCACAAGATCTTCACCCTCTCATTCTCAACAACTTTTTCCATCCTATGTTCCCACGACTTTTCGGACACAGGCAAGTCGTATTTTTTACACAATGCCCAGTGGATTAATTTAGCAACTCAGTCATGTCTAGCTTTGTAGTCAGTTTGCGCGATTTTGCTGCATTCACATATTAGATGTGAAACAGTTTCAATTTTGTCATTGCAAAGTCGGCAATTTGGATTGTCAGTGGATTTTTGTATCTTCGCTTTCATGGCATTAGTTTATAGTGCTTGTTCTTGAGCAGCCAGTATTAAGCCTTCCGTTTCTTTCTTGATGGTTCCCATCTTAAGCCATGCCCATGTCAAGTTGTTATCACATTTTCCTTCAATGTTTTTCAAATGATGTCCATGCAAAGCTTTGGTTTTCCATCTATTTAATCTGTCATCCAGTTGTTTTTCCTTATATTCTGCCTTTGTTTCTGTTATTTTTATAATGCTCTCTGTTTTCACAGCCTGCAGCAGTTTTTCTGTACTTTGATTCACATAGTCATTCAAACTTCGTTTTTCTTCTTCTACAGTTTGGTGGATTTGCAATAGCCCTCTGCCCCCTATTTTTCTTGGCAGGTACAACCTGTCGATGTCACTTTGTGGATGTAGAGCGTGGTGCATATTCAAAAGTTTACGCGTTTTCCGGTCTAGATTTTCCAGTTCAGCCAAAGTCCAGTTGATAATTCCAGCTGGGTAGCGTATTACTGGGACTGCCCATGTATTAATGGCTTTAATTATGTTTCCAGCATTCAGCTTTGATTTTAATATTTTGCAAACTCTCTTGATGTATTCCTTTTGCATTGACTCTTTGGCTTTTCCATTCAAGATGTTGTCTGCTTCCAATATGCCTAGGTATTTGTAACTGTCATCCTTTGCTAGTTCTTTCACAATACTTCCATTTCCCAGTTCTATTCCTTCTATTTTTCCCATTTTTCCTCATTGCATGGATAATATAGCACATTTTCCAAGTCCAAAGTTCATTCTGATGTCACTGCTAAACAGTTGAACTGTGTTGAGGATTGATTCAATTTCAGTGTGGCTTTTCGCGTACAGTTTTAAGTCATCCATGTAGAATAGGTGGTTTATCTTGTCATACTGGCTTGAGATGTGGTATCCCAATTTTGTGTTTCGTAAGATTATTGTCAATGGAATTAATGCGATGTTGAATAGTAGTGGTGAAAGTGAAATTGGAAAATTCCTCATCTGATGTTGATTTCACCAATGTTTTCCCCATTTGCTGTTAGGACTGTTTTCCATTTTTGCATATTTGCTTTCAAAAATGTACAGATATTTTTGCTGATTCCAAAGTTTTCCAAACACGCATTAATCCAGCTGTGGGGCAATGAGTCAAATGCCTTCTTGTAATCAATCCACGCCATATTTAGGTTCGTTTTCCATCATTTTGCATTTTTAAGTACCATTTTGTCAATGAGCAGCTGATCTTTTGTTCCTCTTGATTTTTTATAATTTCCTTTTTGTTCTACTGGATACAGACTGTTTTCCATCACATGATTAAATACTGAATTCGCCAGTGTTCTTGTAAAAAGTTTGAACGTTGTTGGCACACAAGTAATTGGGCGGTAGTTGCTTGGTTCTGTGCTCTTTTCTGGGTCCTTCATTATCAAGTATGTTCGACCAGCTGTTAACCATTCTTCACTTGTGGCATTTTGAAGCATTTCATCAAACTGAGTGGCCATGTGGTGGTGGAGGCTGGTGAGGTGTTTCAACCAGTATCCATGCAGCTCATCCAGGCCAGATGCACTCCAGTTCTTGACCTTCTTTACTTCTTGTTGTTGTTGTTGTTGTTGTTATTATTATTATTATTATACACACACACACACACACACACACATATATATATATCATAATAGTTCTTCCCCATGCCAAGGGAATAAGGGAAAGAGAAGGAGGAGAAAAACAAGTTACTTATACGAGAAATCACCTGCAGTCTGAGAACTGGGTCACTGCATGTATCTTAAACATCTTACCAGATTCTGTACCATACACATTCTTTCACTTCTTAGTTCAGCTACAAGTCCATAGACATCCACAAAATCATGGTCATTTATATGCTGTATTAAATGGTCAAGAGCAATGTAAACTCCTGTTCTTCCAACTCCAGCACTATAAGTAGAGATGAAATACACATGGAAACATTTGGCACTTTTAATGGAAAAAAATCATGATTACAATGAAACATAGATTACAATTTGATTAAATATTATTGCAAAATAATTATTTTTAGGTAAGTATAATATTGGGGATATGTCACTTTTCATCATGTAAATTCTTTGTATTATCTATAATAAAGATATAGTCAAAACGGAAGGGACTTTTTTTAACCTAAATACAATTCTAGATTGATGGTAAATGTTATATTCTAGATTAAGATTTTTTACTATAACGGTAGCTACGGTGTTATACTTAATTCATTATGCACCTATTATCAATCTGTGATTTATGCACTTGAAACCTTGAACTCTTGAATATGTCTGTTGCTGTATCTTAAATAGGTTTCACCACAAACTTCAATGTTCTTAATTATACATGGATTCGGTACTCCATTCTAGAATTCAATCCATTGCTTCTGTTTCTAATAAACTAATCCCATTATTTAACATTATGAGATCTGTTAAACATCTGCTTACCTGCAGTGAACAATTATGGGCGTGTTGTCATGTGATCGGCTGCCTCGGACCAGCTTTGCAAAGTGGACTAATGATGCACTTGTTTCAGGTACTCCATGTTCAGGCCAGGCAATAAAATTACACTGACGTACCATCATACAATCCCCATGCTGTTAAGATATGCAAAGAAAAGTGGGAGTTTTTTAGAATTAAAGGAGTATTTAGTTACTCTTTGAGAGGACATTCATACTGGGATAAACTACAATTGGATTTTTTTGATGGTACTGTATTATATATCTTACCTAAGAAGATAGGCATCTAAGATGTATTGTGCATCTAAATGCCTAAATTGTTTGTTGACAGCAGCCTGATAAGCAGTTCAACCAGTAATTATTACTTGAAATGGAACATTAATTTTGTAGCTCGTCTTGATTCTGTTTGTAGACAAATTACAATAGATCCTGGATACTGAATTCCAGAATCAATGCCATCATAGGATCACTGGGAATATTACAGATATGAAGCCACCTAGTTTACTGATTCTTAAATATCAGATTTATGAATATTTTTCATAGGTTATTTTAGGTGATATTTTAACTTAATGGACATTTCCCCCCCCCCCTTCATTATGACCCACTGTGCCTGGGTAATGCTAGTAAATATATTCTCTGTTTTTGATTTATAACTCTTTCATGTCAACAAATTAAAATAATATAGTGATGAATATACTTTCATAACTTGTTCTTTGGATTTCAATTTCCCAGAAACTTTATAGAAAATAATCTGATGACAGTACAATATTGGGAATTATAAAAGCCAAGATATATTAATCAAGAAATTTAAACAATGATTCCAAGAATAAGATGTATTGTCAGACATTACAGCTGCAGACAGATTACAGTTTTCACAGAATCTATGGAAGTTTAAATAAAATCTATTGTTACCTTTTCAATTTTTAGATCTCTGATGGTCCAGTCTATTTGAGTATCTTCCACTAATTTAGTAATCACTATATCTCCAAAAACGGTAACTGGAATGTTATCTTCAGGCCAATACTGATGGCATCTTATCTGCAGTCAGGGTGCAATATGATGGCTTATAAAATTGTACCATTATTTTTATGAATGTATAATAGTGAGTTTTCAAATAAATTTATAGCCCATATATTGGTAACTTACCCGCCCTTTTTCATAACACTGAGTTAGCATAACAACAGTTTTTGCTCTTGTTTCCCATACCATTCTCCAGAAATCTCCCACTGTGCCTGGTAATGGTCCTTGAGTAGCAATAAATTCATTTGGACATACATAGCCCTAAAGTAAAAATGAAACTTAGTACATTAAGTACAGTACTTAGTACAGTTAGAACAATTAATCAGTGGAACAACCTGCCTCCAGAAATTGTGAATGCTCCAACACTGGAAGTTTTTAAGAAGTGATGGCGAAACTTTTAGAGACTGAGTGTCCAAACTGCAACCCAAAACCCACATGTATCATTGGGTGCCAGGTGGGCGTGGCCCATTGGGGGCGTGGCCCATTGGGGGGGCATGACTGTGGTGGTAACGGCAGTCTGGGTGGGACTAAAAAGTTCAATCAATCAATTCCAACTTTGCAAGATCTTTTTTTTCCTGTGAGAAATTGAAATTGATTGATTGAACCTTTTTTTTTTTTGCACATGGTGGTGGAGGCCTAAAGCGAAAAGGTTTTATAAAACCCAGCTGAAGGACTGGAGTGGTGCGCATGCCCACAGAGAGGGCTCTGCATGCCACCTGTGGCACGTGTACCATAGGTTCGCCACCACGGGTATAGGGTTTCCTGCCTGAGCAGGGGGTTGGACTAGATGACTTCTAAGTCTCTTCCAACTTTATTATTATTATTATTATTATTATTATTATTATTATTATTATTATTTATTATTATTATTATTATTATTATTGCTAAAGAAAAGAAGAGGAAAGATCATATTCAGCTACATATTCAGTAAAATATGTATTCTTGCATGAAGACATTCAAAGTTACCATTCCTGAATACAATATATACTTCTAATAGCTATTAATTAACTGATCTAAATTCCCTGAAATCTGTAACGTATTGCAAAATGTCTATCTCTTTGCAATGTTACATTCTATTACAGATTTGTCTTCTTTCCTTGATGGAATATTTAAAAACTACATTTCTACAAAGCTTGCACATGAAATCACCATGGTGAAATATTGGAAATATTTTGTAATGGGAAAAATCAATTTTCCAATTAGGGGAAATTGAACTTTGGGAAAAAATGAAATATATGTAATACTTTTTAAAATATCTTTTTCTGATATAAATTCACTTTGATAAAAAATGTATTGCAAATACTGTAGTATGGCTTGGTTGTAAAAATATGTCTGCTGTATAAAACTGAATAGTTTATTCAGGTAATAATTATAAAATTATTGATTGCATTTAATATAAAATATTCTTTTTGTTTAAGGTAGAGCTACAAACTATTACATGTAACAGAATCTAGAATTTTAGAACAATCAAATGGGCAAAAAAATAAACTTCGGAAACACAAGAAATAATCACTATTGTAGTAAAACAAAACAAAACAGATATCTTAAATTTTACCTTCTGCTACATCAAAGAAATATACAAAACAATATGATTTCAGCAAAAAGGGTGGAATTTGTGACTTTCACAAATCACTTTATTTTTTAATTTAATATATTTTCAAATATATAGCATTTCCTTTCACACATTGGATTATTACCATATAATTTAAAAGTAAATATGCAATATTCCATGAAAGTTCCACCCCTCCCCCCTGCAACACACAGGCACACAGACTGGGGAATTATTCCTTGTTCTTCACATCTTTGCACCCTGATAGGCTACGTTAATGACTGGCAATCATTTGTTTTGTACAGCATGTTATTTAAAACAGTGGCCTTCAACAACAAATAATGCAAATAAAAATATTTTGCATCCATAAGTTGAATTCATCAAGTAGTAAAGATTAATATACCTTTTCCTTGCTATCTGTTTCATAATTGTAAAACTAATAGCTCACAGATAATTGTGAATCACTTGACCTATAAATATCAGAGATTTTTACTTGAGAATGTATCTCCCAAATTCTCAAAATATTGCATTGGTTAAGCACACAGCATAACACTTGGTCCAATCCAATAGATTTTGGTTCTAAATTGGAAGACACCAATGGTACTAGGTGGGTGATAAACACCTGCAAGCAAACAATCAAGCTTATGGAGCCACATATATTCTCTTTTATTGCAGAAAAATGGATGCTAAAAATACAACATATGGTAGAAATTAAAATTTAGAAATATGTTACTTAGTTCTTTTGAATAACTTGCAATCCAAAATCAATAATGTATTTTTTGGAACTAAGAAAAAAAATTAAATAAATATTAGGCATTTCTCTACACACAAGAAACATAGTGTTTGCAATATTGAATCTTATAAAGAAAACGAATTCCATGGCATATCCCACTATGATTATCTTTCTCCTCATGCATCCAGAATGGTCTGCTCCTAGCTTAAAGTGAAGAATGTAGCTTCCAAGAGATTAAAATATACAAGACAACTAGTCTAGGTGTTTAGCTGAAATATTTTTATAATCATATTAGAGCTTAATAGCAGAAGAAACTAAAATATTCTATGAAGTGATGGAACAGGCAATTATAGAACATTTTCTTGAAAACTGAAATATACAATTATAGTATTCTTCAAGGATTCAATAAGCTATTTTTGTTTTCCATATGAAACGAATGAATGAAATAAAAATTTAATTGATGATGATGTTAGTCTGTAACTGTATTATAATACAAAGAGAGAGTAAAAGAAAACTTATGCCTTTTTTCCATAAAGATATGTTTTTTTCTAAATCACCCAGTGACATGGAGAAGAATGCAGTTACAATTTAAAATGATTATAAACTTACAGATACATAGCTGGCATTAATATAATCAGATCCTGGTACACAAGCATCAGGCATTAACTTCACTCGATTATTATTATCTGTGCAAAAGAAATTAAATCAAAGCATCTTTCCAAGGTTTCAGTGGATGGATATATGGATAGATAAGTAGATAACAGTCAGTGTATTCTATATATAGCACATATGTATACACGCACATACAGATAGACCATTTTAGCAAATATGACATTTAATTTATTAAAATTTATTTTTTCCTTTTAGTTTTATTTTTAACCATTAAAACCACTGCTGAGTTTAACAAATCAAGGAATATGCCCATTAACAAAGAAGACTTTTAGATAGATATTTTAATTTACAACTTTTGCCTCTTTACACACGGAAAGAAAAAGATTGATCTCTGTGTGTGTGTGTGTGTGTGTGTGTGTGTGTGTTTGTGTGTGTGTGTGTGTGTATGTGTGTGCGCGCAGCTGTGGGAAGGAAAATTGAATTCTGTGCTGGTTTCCCATCTCAAGTTAAATCTATATATGTCTTTATATCCCTATGTAGTTCTCCTGAATGCATTCAAAAGTGAGTATGTTATTTGTTTGCAACAGAACATATCTGGAATAGATGTACCCTTAAATAATTTCATATTTAAGAATGAATATTACTATGAAGCATCCTGGAATGGCAAAAATAATAGAACTATGCAAAGCTTCAATTAGAAGATTCAATCAAATAACCTATTTGAATCTATTAAAATTATTGGATTAAAACAGGTATCTGAATCTAGCTCATGATTCATTGAGCTACTCTGCTTGGATACAGATACTTTAATTTAATGTAATCATTGAACTAAATTAATTCAAAGTTATTTTGAATAGTTAAACTAAACTGGAAAATCAAACTGAATCTTGGCTGAATGCATATGTTAATAAATAATGCAATAAAAGAATAGAGTTTTGAATATATGTACAAAAAAGATAAACTCTGAGTATGCATTCTGCTACTGCTTTAGGCATATTAGCTCAGGTCAACTTGAGCACAGAATATTTCCTGAACTAGTAGCAGATAGTAGGAGCAGCTGTTCTCAACAGTTAATACACAGAATGTGGCTACATTAACCAAAGAATGCCTTGTCCCCATCTCACATCACAGCTAATGCTTAAAATAATAATAGCATTTCTTTTCTTAATAAGTGAAAAATGAAGCAGTGTTGACTACAGAGGGAGACAGACTCCTGACTCCTGTGATAAAATCTATCCTGGATTTATAAATTACTATATATTCACTCTGATCTTTCCTGGAGCAGCTATATACCACATTTACAAGTATCTTAAGAAAGCATCATCATGTTCCAAAGAAAAGGTGAGCATACCCAGAGATGGATCCAGCATTTTTAGATAACTTTATTTTACTGCAGAGTACACAGCCCAAGAATAATAATTAGGATGAATTATATTACACAGCTAAGAAACCATGAGGGTGTATTATTTCCTGTCCTGCAACTGCAGTATACAATCTGCTGTTTCAGAACTCTCTACTAAACCACAGACTCTCTCTAATCTGAGAAAGTCCCATGGGAGGAGTTCTTTTATGATACTCTCCCTTTACTTGAGATATAACAGACTGTTGCAGAGATAATAGTACAATGAAAGACAAAATATATTCAGACATCTCTCATCTACTTCATAACAAAAATAAATTCTGGGATTACCACATCTTCATTAGGAAATAGATAAAGAAATGGCTTTATCCATCAAATTGTATAATCAAAAAAGATACAAGCAATTTTGGCATGGCACTATTTAAAAATTAATTTCAGAAAAATATAATTAGTAAAACACTACGTACATGGTTTGATGTTTGGAAAACGATTTTTAGATTTGTTCCAAGGAAGATCGGCATCAGTTAACGCAAGATCTGGAAGAAACTTGGGGAGTTCCTATAAAATAATATATATGTCGCTATGACTTTCAGGTTACTCATGTTTTCAGCAAAAAAATACACAGGAAGCATAGTAGCATGAACACTTCCAATTAATACTGGAAATATATTTTCCTTTTTCATAATGACTTTCATTTGTATCAAGAGGCTCCAGACCTTTTACTTCATTTTCAGGTTGCTTTAGAATTAGCAAATACTTTATTAAGTGATAGTGGAGGAGGTAGTGGTAGTTTCTTATTATATTATCCTCTGCAGTTTTCAGGCTGCACACATTTCTTGATCTAAATCAATTTTCAAGGGATCAGTTCCTCTGACATTTAATTGAAGCACAAAGTCAAGGAGTCTGCAGGCTGCTTGAGGGATAATTATACAGTGGATGAACAGCCTCATAAAATATGTGCTAAGAACCATAAAACTTAAACAAAGGAAGGAAGGAAGGAAGGAAGGAAGGAAAGAAGGAAGGAAGGAAGGAAGGAAGGAAGGAAGGAAGGAAGGAAGGAAGGAAGGAAGGAAGGAAGGAAGGAAGGAAGGAAGGAGGAGGGGGACGGAGGGAGGAAGGGATTTTTTTTTCTAATAAACTGAATGGGAATAATGAGATTTGGAAGAAATTTTAAGCACAGCACTTCTTGCAGTATAGTCAATGTCCTGCCAATCTAGCTCAGCAGTGGTCAACCAACTGCTACAAGGCTTTAGTCTCCCAGCAGATCTTTAGAAGGAATCCCACTGCCTTTAAGGACAATAGACTTGATCCCGAAGACTTCATTTATGCTTATGCTGGGGTATGATATACTAAAGATTTTACTTGAATCATTTATGCTGCATACTGTGAATATATTCAGAGAAGTTAGAAAGTCCACTAAAAAGGAATATTTTTTAAGAGAAAATAGAATGAATAGGTTGCATTTTTTTGTTTATATGTAAGCAGCAACGAGGGAAAGATTTCTGTAGCAGGAATGAGGATGAGTGTATGAACTCTTCTGATTAAATGGAATGAGAAATAATTTGTATATAACACTGCTTCCCATGTGAAACTATCACATGTGACCAAACTATTTATTGAATACTAATGATCAAAGTACATCAAATGTGACACATGAAACAAGTGGAGATTATGCATGTTGTGACAACTGTTGGTAACATACCAAAAATTCTTCCTGAAACTTGATGTTGTTATTTGTGCAAAGATCTTCGACATGTTGCAGAAAACATTTCTTGCCTATTGGCCTTGAAATAAAGAGGAAAATTGATAATTTGTGATTTAAAATAAAGATATTTCTATTGGAAAGTTAACATACCATTTTTATGCATATAAAACAATTCAAAAAGAAAAGACTTAGTTTACATTTGGAACAGTTTTGAAATAACAGAATTCCATCTTAAATTTTCTACTATTTATTTGACAGCCTGCAACTGTTATCTACAAACTGTTTTACAAATGTGATTACTCCCAAGGGCAATCTTTTGATATTTATGCACATTTGTAAAATCACCCTTCAGTTCAAATCCAGCAGACAATGCTTCTTTTGTCACACAGAAACCATTTTATACAATGCAGGGCTTTAGATACACAAAATATAGCAGTGACTTCATTCCCATAATGACATGGTTTTTAAACCCCTAGGAGTTAAATATCCCCATATTACTTGCCACACTAAAACACAGACATGCAGGCTTCACCCCAGAGAGAGAGAAAGCATTTCTCCAGTTACCATGCAATTGGTCATGCTTTCATGATTTATACACAGCTTGGAACTTTTTCTAATAAGTATACCAATATATATCACACATTTCACTTCATCAGACTAGGTACAATATAAAACTCAACTTACCTGATGGATTTTCTATAACTAAGTAACCTGTAATAGAGATTGTATTAAATAAGAAGCTGAAAGTTGTGAGTTAGGCAACTTTTTGCATTCTAAATTGATTCTGGACTCACTAAAGTTAGAAGTAAGGAGTCAAATGACATTAAACATTTTTGAATGATTCACTTTTCAGAAGTTCTTTAAATTCCATTTTTATGAGATGCTGTGCCAATATAAATTATTTTAAATTCTTTTTGCAAGACAAAAGGGACAGACTGCCTTAAGAAGTGCAGCAAGGCCACTGGTAGGTGGAAGAGGCAATTAACATTAACTGTCTTGGTTTTTGTGAGTGGTATAATGTGGTATGTGAGGTTATTTAGCCTCAATCAACCCCAAATTAACACTATCCCTATTGCAGATGGGGTAAATTTTTCATAATTTAGTTATTCCTCTCTAATCAAGTTATATGTCATTCAGAGAGGGTCTCTAAGTTCTACACTTTATTAACCTCTATGCTTCAGTAAAGACATTCCAGTATGATGTCTCAGTTTTTAAAGAGTCAATGTCTGCTAGGTTTAAAATAGGGTATGATACTTTCTTGTACTACTTAGGTATGTGATAGTATGTTGGTAGAGTTTTCCTGTTTTGGTCACCTTCTGACGTGTGGGATTGCAACTCACAGACGCCACCACATTTAGAGACCACTAGCTTGTTACATTGATGTTTGATAAGATTTTAAATAAATACAGTGATACCTTGGTATTCAACTGCTTTGAAACTCATCGAATTTGGTACTCAATGCATTTTGAAAAAATTGTCCCGCTACTCATTGTTTGTTTGGTACTCAATGTACAAGCTAAAACTTGTCGCTGTCAGCTGCCATGTGACTCACTACATTATTCCTTATGGGAAAAATATGTTTGGTACTTATTGTTTTTGGCACTCATTGTGCCTCTGGGAACCAATTAACGACGGGTACCAACAGCATGTAGATTGAAAAGGGAAAGCATAAAAGACATAGCAGCAATGCAATAGTGCCCATTTTGCTAAAAATTATATTCATACATTGTAATGCTTGACAATTTCCTAATTACATAACCTGATTTCAGTAGATGATTTTAAGAATTTCAGGAGGGAGCCTGCATTTTTTCTAAAGAGTCCACATGTAATGACTAAAGTGTTGTGTATGGATGTGTATCATACGTACTCTTTTTTTCTGCTTTTTCTTAGGCTTTTTCTATAAAGTATAAAGTATCATGTGATCAGAGGATGACTGGTGTAGTGGTTAGAATGGAGCATAATGAACCACTGATACACTCAGGGAGAGTCATTCCTGCAAGTTCCATCTCACTTAGGGATTTGAAGGTAATAATGAGCATCTTGAATTGCACCTAGAAATAAACTGGAGGACAGTGCAGCTTGTCCAGTACTGGTATGGAGGGCAGAACTATACATGCTGCCACATTCTGGATCGGATGTTGTTTCTGGATAGTATTCAAGGACTGCCCTGTGTAGAGCAGTACAGCAGTAATCCAATCAGAAAGGGGTGAGGGCATGCCTGTCAGCATGCCACTTATTGGTGCGGCAGATACACAGTTGCATTTTATATAAACCTAGATCTTTTATTTTTGTTTGATGCAATACAATGCTTAGCCATTATGAATATAGGTATTCTGGATTATGAAAATGAAATATTTCAAGAATTGTATTATATGTGGGTTTCATTTGGAACTGTATTAAGTAGAGCTTATTCATAGGCAAGTACAGTATATATAGGATTACAGTTTGAATTACTGAAAGATTTGTAGGCTAAGATTTTTGAAATATAAAGAACAATTCTTTCTATTAGATAATCTTAAGAAAGAGAGTTGGATTTATTCTGCTCTACTGGCCACCTGATCTGGACAATATGTGCCACTGTATTAAGACATGGCTTCATTCCTTGGACATTTATGTAAAATTTCACCATGGTATAATAAAATATCAAATTATGACAAATGTAATTTAATATCATCATGAACCACTTGCATGGGAATAAGCTTTGGTCTCATTTCTGGATCAAGATTCATCAAGGATAAGAGCATGAATCTTTGCATAAGTACTATTTACTTTTAAAATACTAATCACTGACTTCTCATTCTGCTTTCCAATAGACAAATCAGTGCCTGTCAACTAGTAAAAGAGGAAGCTCTTGCTTAAGCAGAAAAAGATCATGGAGCTGGATTGGCACCCAAACAGTAAAAACTTTAATATATATCAATAAATGGTATATGATTAAGACTATCAGGTTCTATAGGAAGTTAGAATGGGATTAAGTTATATTAAGTAAATATATTATGTAATGATTACAGATGCATTGAGTAAAAAAAAAACGCTAATTTGCTAAGCACTCAGTAATAAGATTTACAGAAGCTTTCTTTAACCTGATTCTTCTTGTCTTAATGGGTTAGAACTTATCTGGTATACTTTATCTTAGAAAAGCCTGAGTTACAGAATCAAGGAAAATATTGTGCAGATGATTTATTTTCAACCATCCAATTCATTCAATGCTGACATTGTAACATAACTGCAAACAACAAAACTGCAAGACATCCATGTTTCAGCTTTATGCAGGAAATCAAAATACTTCAGCCTACAAGACTCCCATCATGTTTTGGGAAAACATTTGGATCATCAAAGCTATTCTATATACAACAACAGTTTATTGGAGCTTGCAATATTAATCGCATCTTGAAAGATAGATGGAGCCTTAGAGCCTAGGCTCAGTTTCACTTCTAGTATGATTTTCTGCCCTTCCCAGATTCAAGTTATTTGTCTAGATATAGAATCAACAGAAGCCATTTATTTATGTTGGCAATGGTGACCGGCACTACTCTCTGGGTCAATCACTTAAAAACTGTTGGGAATTATATCTCGTTCAAAAGACCCCACAGAAATGAATATGTAGACTAAAGGCTTAACTCATAAGCAACATGAGTACTTGCTCGGAATAGCGATGGAAATGTTATTAACAAGTTAATTAAGATATTCATTCGTCTGTCTCTTTAAGAACAATATAGAATAATTATTCCTTACTGAAAGTCTTTACAATTTTTTTCCTTCTCACCTTTTAGACCTTAAATTATTACATAGCAATCTAAGATATTTAAATAAATATGTTTCATAGCTCATTTGTGAGTGATCTCAGCATTTTACAAGCTTCTTACAATTTAGAAGAATAATTTTGAAAATAAGCCTGTTAATAATATAAAGCAATACTATTAAAATAATCCTGAATTTGTTTGTAATTTTCAGCTTCAATTTATTACAATCATTAGCTGCTGACAAATTCAAAACAAGAAAAGACCAAAGCAAACAAATAAAAATATAAGCATTTAGCCTAATCTTTCACTCTGGATTGCCTGCCACTGGAATTGGAATCAAGTATTGAAACTTTGTAACATTATATATTAAATAAATGATTTGTCTGCAAGAAGGAAATCAATAGAATTGTTATCTTATGCATCTTATAAACAAGAAGAAAATACATACAAATAAACAGGGATCAAGAATGTTATGGAAATTATAATTTTGTGGTTTTTCCAGTTTAGTTTCTGAAGTATTATACTTAAACTCACAGTTCTGCTTTTATATTTTTTAAAAACAGTTTTCTAAAAGTTCCTGAAAATTTCTCTACTAGGAATGACATCATGTCTACATGAAAATGGCAGCCCTTCTCTCCTTCCTTCTAACATATTCTAAATAACATTTGAGCACAAGTCTGTATGATATTTGTCCTCCAACCCTATGAATTTGTGGTTGTGATGATTGCTAGAATAGGTTTATCTAGTTAGCCAGGATTATCCTGGATACTCTTGTGATTAGGAACTTTCTGTAAAAAAGATTTTAGGAAATCTAAAATTGCACATTAGGAAAACTGCATTGTGAAATTCTGAATCTTGATTACCATTATTCATAATATCACCTAGAATTTGGCTTTTATTTCTAATAGGAAAATTGGAGTAAATGAGAATTAAACCAAAAGATGCTTTGGTCAGTGGTCCCATCCAAGTTTGCTAAACTTGAAATATACTGTATATGAAGTTTAAATCCAATTTTTATATAACTTCAATAGAAATAACATATTTGGGATCTACTTAGAAGGCCTTTTTTGATGATATTTTCACATATCACAACAAATTATTTATTGCTTCAGGATTTGCCTTGGACTCCTGAAGGCTCTTTTTGTTGCATTATAAACTTTCAATTGTTGTATTTATAAAACAGCAAATGGATTTATCTAAGGCAGGGTACCAAACACCATATCTTGGGGTGGAGCAGGCAGACCAGTACATTATGCTGAATTATGCATGCTATTATAGCACTAATAATGATAAATTATTTTTTTATGTCATTGGGAAAAACCCTGCATTGTCTCTGCAAGATATGAAAACCAATGTCATCACTAGTGAACTGATACAAAATTCATCTGAAGTGCTAAGAAAAGTATTATTTCAAATAAAAATCAGCATAATCTAGGATCACACAAGTAAACACATCACACTGAAAACCACACATTGAATCTTCAGCCATGCAGTAACTTACTGGATGATAAATATCTCCTTGCGTCTAAAGAAAAAAGAGGAATATCTGGAAACAAAACCCACTTGTCAGTAAGTACTTAGATAGAAACCAGGTTTGTTATTCAAATGAACAGTTGTACATGATAATTTGTACCATTGAGATAGAAAGTAAGTTCAAAAGTGATAGGGCTAAAAGGGCTTTCTGACTGCCTACTGAAATGAATGTATTCTGTTGCTGACTATTTGTTTATAAACAAGCCATCTATTTGTTTATTTATACCCATCCATTTCACAATGGATGACTGGGCAGTTCACAAAAGATTGATACCATCAAAATATGATGCAAAAATATACATTTAAATTATGAATAATATGTAACTTAATGAATGTCCATGTCTAAAAACCTGATATTAATCCATACAGATCAAATAACAAATCCAGCAACAGGGCTGCTTTAATTTCGTGGTAATTAATGCCTGGTAATTAATTAATTTCCTGGCAATTAGTTAAAATGTTAAGCATTTTAATGATTATTTATGCATGATGGGGCACATACATGTATTCCAAAACATGTTTCTTCACTTTCAAATTCCAAAATGTTGCCTCTTCATTTAAAATAACCTGTCAGTAGTATTAGGTTCAATCAACAGCTGACATCTCATTTGAAGTAATGACATTTATTGAGGAAGGATAGCTAAGCCATCAGTTTTTCTGCTAATTCATTTGTTAAATTGATGTATTTTTTCAGAAGGATAATATGACTGCTAATTTACAAGTTGGGGTTGTGAATTTAGATTCCTTCATTTTAACAGGAGTTATCATCTGCTCAGAATGGGCAGCCATGTAAATTTGTGAAACAAATCAATAAATAGAATTTTTGAAAAAAATTATTATATTTAATGAAATTACCACATTAATCTTCTTTAATACTGCAACATATAACATGCTCATATTAAAAATTTGCTGGTCAATACCTACAATGAGTTCCCAAAAGAGTTCCCAATCTCTTCCTTTATGGGGACAACTATATCAGCAGTAAAGGTTTTGAGAGCCATCACATATAGCCATCACATATAGCATGGCTTAACAATGTAGCATCAGTAGTCATCCTGGCATAATTTCTTGTCTTCTTTTTTCTCAGATATATATATATGAAACTCCCAAATTATATAAGAGTAAATTCAAAAAGTTTAAGTTGCCAAAATCTTGGACGACCATTTATCATATGAGATTTTTGTGTTCTGTCCCAAATCTTGCAAATGATAGCAGCAATATCTCACTAGGTTTTAAGTGAAAATTTAAAATGTTGTTATTTTTACTTTGGTATCTGAAGATGAACAGTGGTTCCTATATCATTGGTATTTTAATTTAAATAATTTTAGATCGAACATCCTTTTGTGGAAAGAAACTAGCATGTTCACCTAAAGTTAAGTAAAAATACATTAACAGGGGACTTCCAGTTTTGTGCAGTAGTGACCGATTGCGGGCTTGTGGTTTTCCGCACCCCCTGCAGCTAATTTCGCCCTGCCAGGGGACCCTAAATGGGTCTACGTTGCCCTGGAGAGGCAGTGAAGAAAAAAGGGTACCCTGGCGATTTTGGAACAATGGCAGTCTTTCCATTCGACTTGGGGAAAGCCTTCTAACCCAACAAGAGAAAGGCTGGCCATACTTCATCAACCAGCCCAAGCTACTTGCAACTGAAGCCCCAAAGTACTAACCAGTACAACAGTGAACAGCATGTTTGAAACTGGGTGAGGAGTTTGATTTTCTCTTTTCTATTCTATATTTAATTTTTTGGAAAAGATCCCCAAGAAGCAAAATACCTCCAAAAGGGAAGGAGGGGGATTTCCGCCCCACCCTTATACTAAAGGAAGCAGCAAATTAATCTTTTTATGGAGGATCAAAATATATGGAAGTGAAATAAATATAAAACCTGAAATTTAAAACTTAAATTTGGATAAATCTAAAATTGTTGAATGGTTAAGCCTCTCATTCTAAAGACAGTTGTTCATTTTGGAAATTGAAAAACAAATAGATGCTGACATCTAGTGGTGGATGAAGACTATGACAGCTATGACTTTCATTATAGGACTTGGCAAAACTGGGAAAAGCTAATCTGTGTTTGTGACCTTCAAAGCTTTAATAACAAAGAACAGTTGTGACAAAAAAAGACAATAAACTGGGCTGTAGACAAAGAGAGAATTATAAACTTCAGGAAAAAAAATCTTTTTTGAACTCTTTGGATTACAAATGTCTATTTAACCGGGACTCTAAAACTATTTGCAGTAGGAAAAAAAGAAGAGAAAAACTCAAATTCTTGGCCATCATGGATCAGAGACATGTAGAAAGAACATACCAGGAAAACATAAATACTCCTCAGAAGGAGATATATAGTATACTGCAATTAATTCAAAGAACAATGATTTTAAACCACAAAGAAATCCAAAATAACTTTGAAAATATAAATCAATCTATTTCCAAGTTAACTCTACAACAAAAAAAATTCCCAGAAAACAACAACAGAGAAGGAGCAGATAAAACAGATAAGTGGATACAAAATTGAGAAGAGAGACTTAAAGATGGAACTTAACAAGACAAGGAAACATAATTTCATCCTAGTGGAAAAAAATTCACAAGAATTGGAAAAATTATCTCTTAAGATTACAAAATTAATCCGAAGACAAGAAAACAGATTGGATAAAATGGTCTGTAGAGATGTCAGGAATATCAGAGAGAAAGAAAAAGAAAAAGATTTTCAACAAACATGGAAAGGCAAAAGCCCCGTACAAAGACATTTCACCTGATTTACTTTTTATATCTACAGTAACATTTATGAACACATGGAAAGGCCTTTCAACTCAGCAAAATACATTGATCAAGAAAGATACTGGGCAAAGGAAAAAGACTAAAGTGGAAATCAAGAAAATATATGATGGGACCTACCAGAGAGAATACTTAAAAAAGAAACATTTGTTTGAATATGGTTAAAGAAATAAAAAAGGTTTGGAATATATGTCATTCTAAGAGGGATGAATCCCTTAAATAATATAGTATGCTTTCCCCCCCCCCTTTTTTATTCTATTTTTTGATATGAGTAATATAAAAAAATTGAAATGGCTTAGATAAAGGAAATGTTTTAGATATTTAAATGTGATTGAATTTAAGAAAATTTTAATGGATAAAAAAAGAAAAAATGTTTTGAATAAGAGTTAAAGGACTAGGTGACTAGATGTACTAAATGGAATACTTAAAGATTAAACATATTTTTAATTATGGTTAAAAAGAATAAGAAATCTTGGAAACAAATATATATTAGTTTAGGAGGGATATATATTTTAAGTAGTATGTTATTTTTTATGTTTCTTTACTCTTGCTCTCCTTTCTTTTTTCTTTTTACCGTTTTATCTATTCCTTAAGAAATGTAAAAGTGCTGAGATGGTTCATATGGAAAAAATAGACTTAAATTTTTAAATGTAATTAATTTTTGAGAAAATCTTAACCAGTTAGAATACTTGAATTTTGTGGGAGAAACAAATTTAAATAAGGATTGTAACAGGATCTATAATGAGGCAACCAGAATGAGTGGACAGAAAAGAAATATTATATTGATGTGATTATTATTTTTAGGAATATTGGGGAAAAATTATATATTTAAATTGATATCTATCAAAACAATAAGAATTGTATTAACTCAATGTTTGCAAATAGGACATTTTGGGGAAAAGAGGAAATCAACTAAAACCATTATGTGGATTATGGATTATAGAAATCAACTGTTAGTGATTGTCTTACAAATGTAAACCCAGACAGAACACTGTTCACCAATTATTAAGTGATTTATGTTTAAAAAATCAATAAAATATATTAAAAAAATACATTAACAGATATTTTCCTTCTAGGTAAATTCATTAGAATTAGTGGCAAAAAATCTTCAACAGAAGATGCTGCAGAAGCACTTTTGAAATGTAATGCAAAATATTTTGACATTACTTTTACAAAGAAACGTATATTTTCCACCAGATGTTATAATCTAGCCATTTAATTTATTTCCTTCCTTCCTTCCTTCCCTCCTTCCTTCATCTACTTAAATCTCAGAACAATCTGGTAAAGAAGGTTAGGTTGAAATAAGTCATACAGTGAAAATTATGACTATTCATGAATTCTGATCTCCTGAAACAAATCCAGAATCTGTGTATTATGCTATAGCATGAACTCTATTGCTGACAGATATCAGAGATACTCTTAGATAGCAGAGAGCAATATGTTATTGCATTACTTTGAGACCAACAATGTATCAGAACATTATTAGTACCTTTACATTTCTGCATCAAAAACACTTCAGCTCAGGACTATAATGTGCAGGGCATGATACATATAGGCTCCCTTCTCCGTTATCCCAACATGGAGAAGAGCAAATGATTATCTAAATTCCTGAGAGAAGTGTCTGGAGGTCACCCTTTGAAAGAGGATCTTTGTGACCTGTGCAAATAAGAATACCACAAATACTTCTAAACAAGTAAAAGGTCACAACAGGGTCATGGCTTCAGACCCCCAGAACTACTGTTTTGCCTAAAGAGTTTGCTTACCGTGTAAATCTTTCATCCTTCATATCCAGGTCTGCCACTGTGATCAACTGGTCCAGTTTAAATTTAGTGTCAATAATTTCTGCATCCCGTGGAGAATATGTACCCCCTTCTTTTTGCTTTTGACGAATTCTAAAGCAACACAAAGGATATTGAATAAAATAGAATGTTTAATGTTATTCATAATCCTCAATCTCACCGGAGCATTTCTGAAACATATTCTCCTATGCATAACTACAAAGAATAAATTTTAATATAACTCATCCCAGGTGATTTTGCATAGCATCACACTTTAATTTACAAAGTCCTTAAAATATGGAAACTATGCTATATTAACTATTCAATAAAAGGAAAAATAAAAATATAAAAATGCTTATTTTTTATGTTTAAAATTTTGGAGATGTGGTATTATTACAAAGATTTGCACTCCAAATTGATAGCAGTTTTTCATTTGCCCTGTTTGCAGTTCAGTGTGTATTTGTTTCTTCTATATAACCAAAGTATCTCAATGTACTTGTTTTTTACTGGTTGTTCACTTTTGTGTCCAGTCCACATCCAGTAGCATCTATTTATTCTTGAGCACGTCTCTTGTTTTTCCATCCACACTTATTAAAAGTACCCTATTTTCAGAGTTTGTTTTATGTGCCTCTTGACATACACCACTCACATTTTTATACAGTAAGACATACATAAATTTTTAATCATTTATGTATACTTTGTAATTGTCCCCCTTTGTGGTTTTCCTGTCAATGAAAACTTAATTTTGATTAAGTTTCAGATACATGCTCCTTATTGCAACCTACACTGTCTAATTTTCATTGCAAATTATTCAATTCAAAATAGTTTCTGGTTTTTTTCATACAAGATTCTTACTGTTTCTTCTAGCAATCAATATGCTTTCACTCTTGTTTTCTTTCACCCTCCCCTACCCACAAGATCTACTCTTGACACCACCAAAATTTGGCTTGGGTTGTATTAGGGCAGAGAACAAAGAGATCATCACTTCACTTCTTTCCCTAAAGAATGTGTGTGAGAAAGAATTCCAGAGTGTAGCAAGACCCGCAAGGGAAGACATTGTTTTCAGGACAAGAAGTGGCAGGAATGTTCTTGCCTTCTGCCTCTGGAAGCTCATACCCTAGACCTCCGTCATACTGGTCTTTAATTTGCTGATTAGGTTTCTATGCAATGCTTATAAATTGTTGAATTAAGTTTATGACTTCTTATTATAATATATTCCTTGCTGGATATAAAGTTATAACAATACATATTTATTTGCCAATGGTTTTAAAAATATAATTCATTTCAATTAATAAGCAAGATGGTGGCGCCTTGATTGGCTGCGGCTGTTTCAGCTCTCAAAAGTGTGGGGGTTAGGGAGGGAAATGAACGATCCGGCCTGAAACACTTTTCAGAAATAGGGACAACTAAGCTGAGTTGGGCTGCTAAACTTTCATGTGAACGTCAGTCCATATTGGAGATGAAGAAATTCAGCGTGAAAGGAACGGTGGAGAAATCTGTTCAGGAGAGTCTGCATAGCCTCGGATTACTACGGAGGAGAAAATCAAGGACGGAGATGCCAGTGGTTGACACAGAGGGTGAGAGATCAGCTGCAAGGTCTGGAGGAGCAGGGAGGAAGAAAGGAAGTTGCTGGAGGTAGAAACAGCATCGTGCTCAGTGTTTTGAGCAGCGAAGGCAGTGTTTCAGGCTGAAGGGGCAGAGTGGAGGAGCAGCAATTGCAGCTGGGAAGTTTCCCTCCATTGCTGATCATCTTCAGAAGAAAAGGAGGAGGTGTGACCGTAAGAGGAAATGTGGCAAACGTGGAGGCCTAACATCTAGGCTAAAAGCTAGACCATACAGAGTGTCTCTTCCATCTATTTTGTTTGCAAATGCTCGCTCCTTAGAACCAAAAATGGATTACCTGAGGCTGGATTTAACAACAAACGGGCAGGTGAGAAATATCTGTGTCATTATTTCAACAGAAACTTGGTTAAAGCCCTGTGTCCCAGATAGTGCTGTTAGCTTGATGGGATTTTCAACATTTCAACTAGACAGGAGTTTTACTCTTAGTGGCAAATCCCAGGGATGAGTGTCTGTTTTTATATAAATGACAGATGGTGTAATAATGCCAAGGTAGTTTCAAGTCTGTGCTCCCCAGATGTGGAGCTTTTGACCATCAAATGCAGACCCTTCTATCTGCCTTATTATCACAGCTGTGTATAACCCCCTGATACAAACAGATAAGAGGCCCTGAAGGTTCTCTGTCATACCATCAGTGACTTACAAACTACTTACCCAGAGGGTACATTTATTGCAGTGGGAGACTTTAACCAAGTGGATTTGAAAGCTACCCTGCCACATTTCCATCAATATGTGGACATTGCAACCAGAGGGGACAATACACTGGATCTTGCTTATTCCAACATCAAGAAGGCTTTCAAAGCTATCCCCCGCTCTCACCTGGGCTCCTCTGACCATCTCTCAGTGCTGCTTATTCTAGCATATAAACCTTTATTAGTCAGAGTGAAACCTATAGTAAAGCAGGTGAGGGTTTGGACAGAGGGAGCGATAGAAGCATTACAAGACTGCTTTGAGTGCACAGATTGGGGCATGTTTAAGGAAGCAGCTACTGATAACCAACATACAAATGTTGAGGAGTATGCCACCACTGTGTCTGCATATATCCAAAAGTGCATAGAAGATGCCTGTGTCCTGGAAAGCATTGCTGTGAGGGTGAATGAAAAACCGTGGCTGACTTATGAGGTCCGCAAGATGCTGAAAGCATGGAATATGGCTTTCAAATCTGGTGACATGCTGGCACTTAGAACAGCCAGAACAAATCTGAAAAGTGCCATAAAAGGTGCAAAGCAAGCTCATTGCCAGAAAATTCAGAACTTTTTTCAGGACCCAACAAACACCAGGCGAATGTGGCAAGAGATCCAGGCCATTACGGATTACAAAGTGGCTTCATCGAGATACAAGGACGACACAGACTTCCTAAACAAACTGAATGCATTTTTTTGGTAGATTTGAGGCATCAAATAGCACTCCTGCTAGGAAAGCTGTGCCCCATCCTGATGAGCAAGTGCCAAGCTTTGAGGTCACCTCTGTCCAGAAAACACTGCAGAGAGTTAACATTCGGAAAGCAGCAGGCCCAGATAACATCCCTGGACGTGTACTCAGGGAATGCGCAGAGGAGCTGGCTTGTGATCTCACAGATATTTTCAACCTCTCATTGCAGCAAGCAGTGGTCCCATCATATTTTAAGACGGCCATCATCTTGCCAGTGCCAAAAAATGATTACCATCTGGTTGCACTGACATCCACCATTATGAAATGCTTTGAGAAGCTGATTAAGGACATTATTGTATCTAGCCTCCTGCCAGCATTTGACCCGCTTCAATTTGCCTACCGACCAAATCGCTCTACAGAGGATGCTATTTCTTCCATTCTCCATCTAAGCTTGAAGCACTTAGAGGAAAGAAATACTCACGTGCATTTGTTGTTTGTCGACTTCAGTTCGGCATTTAACAGAGTCATTCCCCAGCATCAAACTGGGCCTTTTATGCTTAAACACTCCTTTGTGCAACTGGATTCTTGATTTTCTTACCAACAGGCCCCAATATGTGCAAATACCTCTAATACCATTTTCTTGAGCACAGGTTCTCCTCAGGGCTGCATCTTAAGTCCGCTGCTGTTCACCCTGTTGACCCATGACTGTTGTGCTAGGTTTGCCAACAACCATATTGTAAAGTTCGCAGATGATACAACAGTAGTGGGCCTTATTCAGGATGACAAGGTGGAAGCTTACTGCAAGGAGGTTGAGGGGTTGGTGAACTGGTGTAAGGACAAACAGCCTAATTTTAAATACCAGAAAAACCAAATAGATCACTGTTGATTTTAGAAAAAGGCAGGCACAGCCACACTTCTCTGTGCATTAATGATTCACCTGTGGAGATGGTTACCAGCATCAAATTCCTGGGTGTGCAGCTAACGAGTAGGCTGGGTTGGTCACTCAACAGTGAGAAACTGGTGAAGCGGGCACAGCAGCGCCTGCATTTTCTGCATCGCATGAGAAAAGCACATCTTCCTTCCCCTGCCCTGACCACTTTCTACAGGGGGACGATCGAGAGCATCCTGTCATACAGCATCACTGTCTGGTTTGGAAGCATCACTGCTTCAGACAGGAAGGCAGTGCAGAGAGTGGTGAGGATGGCCGAAAAGATCATTGGCAGCTCCCTCCTTCCCATCCAGGACATAGCACAGAAGCGTTGCTTGAGCAGGGTCTGTAAGATCATCTGGGACACTACACATTCTCTTCACATCCTGTTTTCCTTGTTACCTTCTGGGAGGAGGCTTTGTGGTATCCATAGCAAAACATCCAGATTCAGCCATAGTTTCATTCCATACAGCATTAATCTTGTGAACTCTCAAGCTTCCTCCTTCCATTATATATTCAAGTTGGACAGTATTTAATATTTATTTGTTATGTATATGTAGGGGTGTGGGTCCATACATATGTTGTACATAGTATGTTTGTGTCATGTATGTGTGTGTCATGTATGTGTTTCACTATGAGAGCGGGCAACTAAATTTCATTTTTGATGTGTGCCATTGTGCCCACAGTAAAAAAATGACAATAAAGGTTATCTTATCTTATCTCTTATATTATCTACTTCTAAAACTAAAAAAACAGTTCTTGCATCTAGATATGTACTTACCTTGCAAATGCATAAATTACAGCCACCAGGAGAACAATAGAGAGTATACATAAAGTAACTGCAAGTATTATTTCTACAGCTCTTTCAGATAGCCCGTTACCTGTAATGTAGAGTCAGTGTATATTAGGATTTAAACACCAAACAATTATCTGAAATCATATGCTAGTTATTACAATTGCTTCCTGACCATTGCTGCACATAGTCATAATGGCAATGATCAATATTAATAGATACAGCAATACATTTGCTAGCCTTTCTGAGAACCACCTCTTACCGATAATTTTTACAGCCTAAAAATGAATGAAGTATCTTATTAAATGGCATGATTATTACCCCCCAAAAATGCAAGTGACCCCCCTAGAGCAAGGGTATCAAACTTGCAACAACACATGACGTGTCGCGACATATCACAACTTTTTTCCCATTGCCAGCAATGGTTTCGCCATGACGCATCCAGCCAGCGGGCCGGCAGTTTGACACCCCTGCCCTTGAGAAACTTAAATGAGATTACATACATTGACAGAATGACCAAGAGTCACAGGAGATGTAAAAGTCAATGGTCAATGCAGCCCTAAACCTCTGATGCCAAGGCGTTATCTTTGTAACAACAGGGATACAGGTTCACTAGGAAGTTTTAAAAATGATTCATACAATTCTAATAAATAGACATCTGTGATGGAACATTCCTTACCTAAAGTTTTGATGGGATTGGAATAGTCTGAATCTGTATATTGACCTCTGATATTTGTTGCTCTGAACTTAAATCTATAAACAGCAAATGCATTACATTATACACACACACAAGCTTACTTTGTAAGTATACAGCATATAAATTGTATATATAAATTAAGGACACCATCCCTGTAGCTTGTAACATGCTTTGCAGCTCTTTGAATCAGCTCTTTGGAGCATGATCAGGCATTGTAGACCCACACTTGCTGGCAATTCAGGTGTGTCTTTTTCTCAAATTGCATTGCAACTGTAAAGGGCAACTATGAAATTCCAGGAAAACGTATGTCTGCTTCAAGAAGATACCAACCGTTCCTGTGTGAATATCGCCACATGCTCCAAACCATTCAAAGCTGCTGCAAAATCCTGCATTTTTTCAAATTAATTTTTATTAAATAATTTTTTACAAAGTAAAAACAACACAAATCTAAATAAAGAAAAGTGCTAAGTAAATAGAAAAGAAAGAAAAAAAATATAAAAAAGAAAAAGAGAAAGAAAAATATAAAGAAGTGGTTTCCGATCTTTACACCAGTTTATAAATTCATTTATATTTTATTTTCTCTCTCTAAGGTTACATTATGGCTGACATCTTTCCCTATTCTACCTTTTCTAATCCTCATATCCATATCATTACTTAATTGTTTTTTTGTATTTTCAGCAGAAAGTTCTAAAGAGTTTCCAATGACTAACAAATATAGATACTGTCTTTTCTTTAATTAAATGTCAATTTTCTCATCTCTGCAAATTCTTCCAAAAATGCAAAACACATTTTATTGTAAATTGCCCAGAGTCACTCAGGTGAGATGGTTGGTATAAAATAAATAATACTTACACATATTGCTTTTTGGGTTTTAGTGGTCCATTGCAAATTTTTTCTTCACTTCCTGGTATCATACAAGTGCTATCAGCCCCTATTACATAAATATCTTCTTTGCTGCTCAGTCCTTCGCTCCCTTTTACACATGGAGGATTTGGAAAGCCTTCATTTACCAAATAAGGCCTTGCTTTATTAAAATATGCATCATACCACTTGGTGACATTGTCATCATTCTGAACTGAATTCCAAAAAAGAGCAGTGACATATTATATAGATAATAATTCCTGTTTGTTCTCTTCTTTTATTACTTACCACCTCTATTTGTGATAAATTATAGTGCAGCACACAAAAGCATACACAATTACAAATTTATTAGTCTTTATGTATGCATAATCTGTTAAAGAATAAAAAAAAATTGTAATTTTATCTCTATAATTACCTTTATATACTTTTATTTCCATTTCTAAATAGAAAGGATAACATGACTCCAAATAATACCAAGAATTGTGGTGGTGGGGAAATCAAATATTGAAAGCACGTATCACAAAGTTTGAATAACTTGACATGATTCTCATACCACCATATCTTCATTTAATTTATTTATAGTGCAAAACTAAATTTGTCTACTCAGACAGTAATTTAAAAAGAAGATTATTCATTAGTAAATGAGGACAGGGGTGCTATTTGATTAAATATAATATCCCATTTTTCAGAGGACCTAATATAATTTATATATTTACAAGAGTATTGAGTTTTAAAAAATGGAATAAAACTAATGGCAGGAAGATTTCTGTTTTCTCTGTTGCTAGTTTTCCTGCTCAATTTCTTTTGCTCATTCAAGTAGGATATTTTCTGTGAATCACATTCTTTTTGCCATTCATTTTAATTTATAATCCAAATATACTTCATGAAGAACTCCAAAATGCACAAATCTCCATGAGCAAGTAAGACAAACAGAGGTTAAGAAAAGATAGAAATAGCAAGAAGATTCATAAATTCCTTTTAAGAAAAAAAAACCATACCTCCTGCTTCTGCAACAAGAATTTGTAATTTCTTAATAGGCCCATGATCATCATTATAGTAGCAAACTGGCATATGAATAGTAATTGTAGTGGCTGTGACAAGTAATGTTCCACTAGTATCATAAACTGGCACTGGCTTCTTACTAGGTCTTGGTGGTTCTGTTTTGAGACGAATAAATGCTACAATGCTTTCCAGTTAAATCTTACAACAAAATCACAACAATTTTTTTTAAAGCTACTATTCTGATAAATAGAGGAAGTTTCTAGATTTATAGCAAACTCCATCTTTCTGCCACACTTCCCGCTTCACACCCTCCAATATTGTATTCTCACAATGCTATATTCTCATTGTTTTCTTTTTCATTGTTTATTTGATTGTTCCACTACTTTACTAATGCTATGTTTACAGTTCTTTTCATTTCTCCATTTTTATTGTTGTAAACTGCCTAGGGTAGCGATACAGCAAGGTAGGTGGCAAATAAATTCAATAAACAAACAAATAAATAAGTACTATTGAATTGAATCATAGCCATTTTATGATCCTATCAACAGAGATAATTCACAAATTGTAAATCAGTAGCTATCTGTTTTGCACTTCTAGGCATTTCTTTTTTAAGACAGGGAATTGTACTTATTTATATTTGCATAACTGAAATTATTATTGAAATACTACTAATAATAATAATAACAATAATAACAATAATAATAATGACAACAACAACAACAACAACAACAACAACAATAATAATAATAATAATAATAATAATAATAATAATGATGATGATGATGATGATGTTGGAAGGGACCTTGGAGGTCTTCTAGTCCAACTCCCTGCTCAGGCAGGAAACCCTATACCATTTCAGACAAATGGCTGTCCAGTTTCTTCTTAAAAACTTCCAGTGTTGGAGCATTCACAACTTCTGGAGGCAGGTTGTTCCACTGATTAATTGTTCTAACTGCCAGGAAATTTCTCCTTAGTTCTAGGTTGTTTCTCTCTTTGATTAGTTTCCCTCCATTGCTTCTTGTCCTGCCTTCAGGTGCTTTGGAGAATAATTGACTCCCTCTTCTTTGTAGCAACCCCTGAGATATTGGAACACTGCTATCATGTCACCCCTAGTCCTTTTCTTCATTAAACTAGATATACCCAATTCCAGCAACCGTTCTTTATATGTTTTACCCTCCAGTCCCCTAATCATCTTTGTTGCATATACTGTATTACTATGGTAATATCATTGAATTATATTTCTATGGTAGAGATTGTGCAAATAAAACTAAGATATGTTTCACAAGGAACTGGAAAATATGAATCTCATTCACAGCACTATAGGGCTACCCATAGTGTTTCAAGTTATTTTAATCCATATTATTATTTGAATTCAACTTCCACTGTGTTAATGGAACATGTGTTTTAATAAACTTGTTCAGGATTTCAGTCTTTGTATACTTTAATAAATTACTCAATTCAGTATTATGGCACTTGTGCAAGATCAAACTTTATTTTGATTACTTGCATTATAATACATCAAAATAGTATGATTGGTTATGATCAGACAGAGAATGAAACAAGATGTATGCTTATTAAATTCCAGTAACCAGTGTATAAAAACCCAATTGAAAGCAAGCTGATGTTATATTTCTGCAGTCATTGGCTTTACTATAAAACTATAAAAGATTTATAGTTTACCTTTAATATCTGTTGTTATTTTAAGTTGAATCTTTGGTCCTGCACCAGCACTATTGATTGCATATACCTAAACAAATAAAAAGTCTTTAACATGTTTAGTCTAACATTAATTAATGCATCAATTAATTATATTTCACTATGTATATCTATAGGGATGCATATATAAAATAAAAAGTACATGGGAAAATAAGATTTTATTCTGAACATACTAATAACTTCATTGAAGTCAGTGGGTTTTATTTCTATGTATGGAACAGTGATTTTTTTGCTATTCATTTTTCATTATATATTTTGCTAACTTCAAGATAATTGAAATAAAATTAAAACAGGAACTCCAATTGCATTCATTCATTTTATAAATCTCTGAGCAAAAAGGGTCCATTGGAACTGAGCAGCCAGAAAATTTAAATATATAAATTTAAATAAACAATAAATAAATAAATCCTACTCAGTTTGTTTTATATTTAATTTAAACTTATTATTGATTGTGGAAAAAAGAGTTCAACTTACACTGATATTATATGTGTGTCCACCTTTTAATCCCTCTATCATGGCAGTGATTGACTTGTTTGTTCTGTCTATAATACTTAAATTATAAATCTGAAAGATGTCTGTGTCATCGTCTTTATATACCATAGCTTGATATATTTGAATATTCCCATTGAGTTCAGAGGGTGGTAAAAACATCACCTGAAATTTTGTTACTTCATCTGGTATCTTCTGAAAAGTTACATTGTTAAGTGGGTCCCTGGGCACTGAAAAAAAAAAATAGCTGATGAAACAATTAAAACTATTACTAGGCATCTAGAGTCTAAAAGATTAGATCTCATGGACTTTTTTCATAAAAATAATTTAAAAAATGAACTTGTGACATGGTTTTGGTAATTCAACAGGATAGATTATAGAAAGAAGAGAGTCATGATATAAATTTAGAGAGATTTAAATAATGTTCATAAATACTGTGAAGCATCAGAAGTCATTTATACTTTTTTTCTTTCTTTTCTACTTTTCTTAACTTTTTTTCTTTTCTTACACATTTTGTTTTTTCTTTGATTTCTTTCTTTCTTTCTTGTAGCCTATGTAGATTTCTTTGAAAAAGCAATCTAAATAGTATCTTAACTTCTTAATTAAAAAAGAATTATGGGCATAGATTTTTCAAAAGACCTTAAGAAGCAAAATCTATAGTGAATTTGCCTGTACTGTATTACATTTGGGAAAAATATTGGTTGTTTTTTTTATATTCAACAGATTGACCAAGGCTTAAAGTTGAAGATAATAACTGATAAATTAAACTCCCCAGTGATATTAAGTTCCAGGTAAATCAGATAAAATTTACATGGTTCACCTTTCTTTTATAAAGAAAAACAGATAAGCTGAAAGTTTTAATGGCAGTGAGGGGGTTTTATATAGATTTCTTTCTATATGTGATATGATAGTTGTTTATGGGATAGTTTGTTGTTTTAGAGAAGTGTTTAAAAATTATTGATGCTTTTAAATTTTTTTTTACAATTTTGGTTGTAATTTACTTTGTAATGTTTATATATTCAGATAGCTAATAAAATGAACAAATGGAATTAGTGACTTACCTGCTTCAAAAGTGGAAACAATAACCGAAGTACTAGACTTGCCTTCAGTATGTGCAGTCTGAACATCTTCTACAAAAGCAGTGACTACTATGGAATACCTTGTAAATGCTCTCAATCCTGAAATACTTTGAGTTTTATCCTCATAATTTGCTTTGACAAATGAAGCTTGATAGTAATCTGTATCCACCTGTACCAAGCAGGGGCAAGATAAAAAGATAGTGTTCATTAGATTACTAATAAGAAACCTTGGATGATATATCATCAATGGAAAACTGAGTTAACAGGACTGGATGGATGGTCATCTACCTGTGCAAGAAAAAAAAAAGCACAGAGCATGTTTGGGGTGGGTAAATTTAAGGAATAACACAAACAGACATAGCATGCATAATGACTTTGCCATGCTTTTTTATCCCAGTACTAATGCAATAAATTTTCTTTAGATCTTGTATATGGCTATATACTGTAGTAGGGAATCTTTGGGAGACCTTTAATCCAGAAATCATTGGCATAATTTTCCAGATATTTTTCTGTGAGAATATTTTGCAGTGCACAAAATTGGAGATTCATCATGCTTTTTGCTCTCTCAATTTTTACATTTAGCAGTCTAGGGGCCCAAAATCACATAATACTCTATTTAATTATTGTTCCATTAAATAGTAAATAAAATAAGTACAGACTATACCTAATTGCTATACTTGATTGCTTCTAAAGGACCACAACCCTATAGATAATCAGCCCTCAACTGAATATTTAAACACATCTGGAGATATTCTATTTATATGTGATGTATATAATGTTCAAAGATAGAATTAGTTAGTTTAAAAAATTGATTTTTATCAGTTATCATAACAAACTGCAGGACTGATTCTTAAAGTATAAGTAGATGAAATATAATAGTTTAAAGACTAAATGATAAAATGTAGTCAGATAAACTTATGGCATCCATAAAGGATCTTTGTTCAAATAATAGGTTTGCAATGCGGCATCTGAGATTTGTGGTATATTTAAAACTAAAACATATTGAGAAAGCCTGGTTTTTGGACATCTGAACTAGATGTCTTGCTTATCTTAATATTGAAATCTGATTGTATATGCAGTAAGTCAAAAACTCAGCAGAGAATGATTATTTTTATAAGGTGGGATTCTGTTTCAGAAGTTTCCTCACAGGATCTCCATTTCAAGTGGATAAATCAATGATGGAAGTAGAAAAAAGTCCCAGATGTAGAACATAACAACGTTTTATAGAGATGAACACCAAAACATTTTTACATGTTTGTCATATTCCAATTTTCTTTTATATTATGAAAAAGAAAATGAATGTCTACAGTAGCAGTCCCAGAGGGTCATATCTATGGAAGATGCAGCTGCTAAGTGACTAAGATAGTTTAAGCACATATTTTGTTTGACAGATGTGCTTTAGTGTCCCCACTGAGAGTTAACCTTAAATAAAGATTCTGATGTACTAAACAGACAGTGATTTCATGGGATGACTATCAAGGGACAAAGTATTTTTTCATATATCACTGTTCCTTATAACAATATAGGAACATAATAAGACTTCTTCCATTTCCACAATGCTAAGCTGTGTGCTCTGTTTCTGCCTGGTTCACAGACCTGTTGAAAGTGGTAGCTCATTTCCCACGGAAACCCAGCTAGGACCATTTCATTATCATTAACTTTTTTCTAGTATGTATGTGTATATGCACAGTGCACACAAACATGGGCATGTTCAGCTTAAAAATAATACTGGGGGCACTATGATGCAGTGAATAAAAAGCATTCAGAAGACGGGGCTTTAAATCCTTGTTTAGTAAAGAACCACATTGGGTGGCCAGAGGCAAGCCTCAAAAGAGTTGAAGCAAATCATATGTGTTAAAGGGAGCTGAAAATGCAATAAAAATGATGTAGGTTTGGTCAACACTGAAAAACAAGAAATACTTGATCCTTAAACAAGAAAGAAAGAAAGAAAGAAAGAAAGAAGGAAGGAAGGAAGGAAGGAAGGAAGGAAGGAAGGAAGGAAGGAAGGAAGGAAGGAAGGAAGGAAGGAAGGAAGGAAGGGACAATAAATAACTGAAACAGTTAAAACTAAAAATAATTTAAACAAAAATAATTGCTAGAGGATTTTGCTCAAGGTTTCAGTGTATGTAAAGGCCTGAAGGGAGAGGAGAGGAGAAGACAGTCCTATTACGCGAATGAAAGATTATTTATAATACATTGGATTTCATTCAGTACAGGTAGTTCTTGTCTTACAACAGTTCATTTAGTGACCATTCAAAGTTACAATAGCACTGAAAAAAGTGGCTTATGACCGTTGCAGCATCCCCATGGTTAAGTGATTTACATTCAGATGCTTGACAAATAGTTCATATTTATGACAGTTGCAGTGTCCCAGGGTCATGTGATCCCCTTTTTACAATCTTCTGAGAAGCAAAATCAATGGGGAAGCCAGATTCACTTAACAACCATGTTACTAATTTAACTTAACTTAATTTGTTAAGTGATTCACTTAACAAATGTGGCAAGAAAGGTCATAAAATGGGGGGAAACTCACTTGACAAGTTTTGCATTTAGCAACATAAATTTTGGCTCAATACCTGTAGATTGTTAAACAAACATTGATTTTAAAAGTTAACCAATTATTATGACCAAAGATAAAAATTCAGAATAATATTACAGTAGCGGAAACCATCAAATATCTTTGCCTTACAAAGATTGATACATGCCATAGCATATTCCATTAAAAAGAAATCAATCCTTCTTAATATTCTGCTTTTTTAAAAAAAAAAGTAGAAGTGTATACAGTAAATAACATTAATTGATTATATAATCTTGATCTAATTTTTCATATAATACTTGTGTCAAGTAATACTTGTGTCAAGCTGTACAAATAGTGCTTAGAGCACTGACCCCAGAAGCTTAACAAGTGCTAAAAATTGGAAACTTCCTCAAAGAAAATAATTAGTCTTCTGAAGTAAGTTGATAATATAAGTACAGGTAATCCTTCACTTATGACTACAAATGAGACTGGCATTACTCATACCATCATAAATCATTGCTTGCATAAGTTGAGTTTTACCTGATTTACAACAATTTAACAGTGGTAATTAAGCAAATGATACAGCTTCCCCAAAATTTCAATGGGATTTTTTTTTGCTGGAAATCAATCACAAGACACTGCAATTGGTCATAAATGTGAGCTGGTTTTCAAGCACTCTAATTGCGATCACATAACGATGGGTGTGGTGCAATAGTTGCAAATGGAAGTACAGATTATAAGTCATTTTTTCTGAGCCCATTGTAATTTTGAACTGTTTTTAAATGAATGGTCATAAGTCAAGGACTATCTGTGATTATATTTAGGGATGTCTTAGAATTGTGATATTATCTGAGATTTTAGGAATGCTGTTTCTGTGTGGTCCTTGATTTGATTTCAAGGCTATTATGCAATCTATGGAATCTGTTTAGACTTTTCATATAATTGACAAGTAGTCTTTGTTTAGCTATTGTACATGATAATAACAAAAAAGTAACCTAATCACTGGTAGTTTAGCAAGCAATCCTCACATTTATAACTTTTACAAGTTTGTAAACCAAAGGAAAGCTGAAGTAAGGACAGTTATGGTTTCACCTAGTGACCACTTTGATTTATGACCGATTGCCAGACCCAATTGTGTGCACTAAATGAAGACTGCCTGCATTACATCCCTTCCTTGCATTTTGGGAGAGAGATGAATTAGAAAGGATAAGAATAATGCTATTAGAAACAAAATGGTGTGACCACTAACTTTATATTCTGGCCCAATCCACTATTTGCTTTAACCTTGCCTACTAGGAACCTTCCAAACAGAGAAAATAGTTTTAAAAAGATAAAAGGTTGCCCAATTCTGGTACAGCTGATTAGACTGTTATTATTGTTAGCATATCAGCAGCACCTTCTTTGCTATAGTGAACAATATCTTGAATTCAGAAGACTGGCCAAAGGCTGCCTTTAACATTTTTGGGGAAACTAATGGTTCTAGTTGCTGAGATTCTACATATTTTTTATTTATTCCCAAATGTCAAGACACACCACTATTGATTTTTTGCTGTGTTGTCAGGGGAATACGGAAGATTTCAAAAAATATTCAGAAGCTGCAGGGAAACATGTGATGTCAGGTTGCATGCTCATATTGTATACTAACATTCAATAAAATATTATTTAATAGCTGATTCCTAAGTAAACTTCTGTTTCTGAATTTGTCTCTTAGAAAATATGCATCAATCATATCAATCTGTATGAATAATGACAGTCAAAAAACAGAAGACTTGAAATGACTTACTGAGGAAATATCAATGAGATAGAATGTTGGTCCAGTAATTATGGTAGGCTCACTCCAACTAATGTTAATACTGTAAGGAGATGTAGCTACTGCAGTTACATTCGCTGGAGGAGCATCTGGAGCTACAGGGGAAAAAGTACATCAAAAGATTACATCAGAAAGATTTACATCAAAAATTCTCATTCTGACCAATGAAGTCTTTATTATTATGCAACAACATTAATTAATACAATTAAACACCAAGTGCCTAAAAGAATAGATTATAACAGGACATGAAAATACTTATTTGCAGTGTAAAATACAATTTTCCTTCCAATACAGTAATGCTTTCTTTACTGATCATTGCTTTTACCAAAGTTTACTGTGCAAGTTCTCATATGGCAAGAACACCTGTTTGGAAGAAAACACTATTATTTATCTTCCAGTGATCAATACTGTGGGAGGGAGGGTATATGATTAAATTTTACATTAGCACCAAGAAGGCTACCCTCAGCTATGGAAATTCACTTGGCAACTTTGGGGCCGCCACTATCTAACTCTAATTCCGTTCAAAAACAACACATTGTGCACTCTTTTTCCTTATTGGATTATTGCCTTTAAGTTTGTTTATAAGTTTATTGTTGTAACCACAGGTCATAACATGAAATGCCATAAAATATGAATAACAATAAAACAACAAAACAATAAAAATATAAAATATAATAATAGAAGTATTATATATAAAAAGGTTATAGAGAATAGAGTCAAAACTACAGCTAAGAAATAAAGCACTTCTTCCTAAGTTTAAATGAGAGCAGACAAAGGTAGCAACTTGTTTATTGACTGTTGGAAAAACATCTGGAAGAAGATAGTTCAATTTTTCAATATTGGATCCCCTCAGTTCATCTGCCATTAATAATTTGGCCCTGATCTCATTGTAAATAGGACAGTGGAGGACATAATGGATAATGTCCTCCACTTGACAAATACTACAAGGATAGAGGTGTTGTTCAACAGGGAACTTACAAAATCTCCTTTTGAGAAATGCGGACGACAAGGTCTGCAGGCAAGGAGTGTTGAAGCTCTTCTCAGTGAAGCACTGATTATGTTAAACAGGTCCTGGAAGAGACTTGCATGTTTTTTATAATGATGATACTAAAATGAAAGTTTGGACAATTGTACTACTCCTTGGGGTAGGAAAGGGAGGGAAATGAAATAATAGTTGATTTAATTGAGGCAAATTAAACCTTACATTTAATGGATTTTCAAAAATAGACGGATGCTTAATATACATGATTATGTAAAACTCTCCAGTCAAAGATATAGTTCCTATGTCTGAATTTAATACTTATTCTACAGACAGTAAATTCCTTTCTGCAATGCAGCTTCTGCCCCAAGCATTTATTTGAAAGCAAATTCCTCTGATATCAATGAAACTAGAGATTGTTCACATGAACATTTAAGCTGTGACAGCCTTTTTATTTAGTTCTGCTGTTAGCCATGCTGACACAGGCTGAGCTGGCCTCTGTACAGAATTATGCCTTGCACTGAATCAACCTTTTATTGAGGGATTGCAAGTATCAAAGAATTGGATAATTCTGAAAGTGACAGTCAACTAACTGTATGTGTGACCACCTCACCCAGTGGCAATATGTCTGGGAAACAACATATCCTGACTGAAAACCACAGCTGCAAAAAACTCAAAAGGGTGAACATCTAGACACTTCCATATAAATGTATTTAGGATCAGGATGTCAATGCCTTTCAAATTCTTTGTCCAAGGTACCAATATATCTCTTTATTGGCTTTTGTCATAGTTGAAGAATTTTCACCCAAAAGAAGAATTACACTTCAGATAAATTTATATAACCTAAAATATGACTGGAAATTGGAAATCTATTAGCTTCAGTCTAGAACCTTTATAACAAACATCTTACATAAACAAACTTTGTGCCAATGGTAACTGTCACATATTGATTTAAGACTGTTTGTGAAACAAGTCTAGCCAGAAATGGATAAGATATCACCACAGCCTTTCTCTTATAAATCACAGCAATTTACTCAGTAGGAATGGCCCACTCTTATTCACTCATTCCCATATAATCCAATCACTTCCTCTCATGAGCACTTTTCTCCTGGTTTTCACAATAATGCATTTTCTGTAACTAATACCCATCATTTCCTGATTATCATGCTTCTATGCTTCCACAGGAATGTAGGTCTTATGGAGGTCAGGGTCATTTTTTCCCATCCATCTGTGTCCTGATGCAAAGGCAGCAGTTAAGTTTGTTAGCTGGATGGTACATTTGGATAGCTTATCATTTTACAGACTGATCTTCTGATACTCAAAAGAATCTTTTGATTCAAGCTCTATTTGTTTTAGCAGGCCCTGTACTAGCAATGTAGCTTTAAAAAGTAGTTTAGGAAGTATTCTTTTAACTATCAAACTTCTACCTGATATTTTACAATATGGAATTCTTAGATAAGATAAGCATATTTAAACAAGTATATTTAAATTTATTGTTTTAGTAAACGTCCTCTGGTCTGAATATTTTTTGAAACAATTGCAACACAAGGAAATGCTAATTTCTCTTTCATTATTGCACATCCAATAAAGAATTAGGGGTACAGAAAAAACACACATTGCTCTCTCCAGATTCCTTGGAAATCTGATGGTTAATAAAAGAGTCAGTTGAGCAAGAGATTTTTTTTCTTAGAGCAAACTTCCACTGAAGTCTTCTTGCACTGTCTTTCAATATTCTGGAAGACAATTTTGATATATAACCACATGATGAGGAAAGAGCAAATACAGTAGGAACCAGATTGGTATCTGGGCCATGCCACTCTGTTGCAATTCTTTGTTGTTATGTTTTGCAGGTCATTATCATTACAATGCTACTATTTTATATTGATTATATAAAATGAGGAAATATACCAAATTGATTATGCCCTTTAAATTTACTTATCAGTAGAAATAGCTAGAAACAGCACTCTGACATTCCCATAAAAAGGAACCAACTTCTACATGCCTAGACACAATGTGCAGATTTAGAAGCCCACATAAAATTGGTATGAAAACAGGAACAGCAAATTGAATTCATCTTTCCTGATGAATTCATTACATTCCATTAAACTACTGATTTTTATGTTGACAAGCAGGAAAAAAGACCATCCAAAATTAAGTTCAGTATAGGCTCAATGGAAATTGTGAAAGGATGCCATTGTTTCTGTTATTATTAACTTTTCAAGGACTGGATAGAGCTCAGTGATCCAAAATACAGTAAAACAAAAATTTTACACCTATTGAAACTGCAGATCAGGAAATTATTTTCTTACTGAATCTCTATTTTTTTACTCTATGTCTCTAGGTCATAGTACTTTCAATATCCATCTGGAAAAGAGAATGCTACACTGATCTTAGCCAAATGTCCAAGAAGCATAGAAATTCTATGATAAGAAAAAGGATAGACCTTTTACATCCTACATATGTATCAAAAAGAGGAAATTTTGGTATATAGCATTTTCACTATATAAAAATTGTCTATAATTCTTTTATTATGATAGAAGCATATAGTTTAATTCAGTTAGTTACTGTAGAAAATATCTCATTGTAAAGCAGAGTTATATAATTTATCATCAGTGCAATAATAGTCCCATTGACCTATTTTATGAGACAGAAAGACAGTTCCTAAGAGAACAATTTGTAAAACAGAAGACAGAGTATTCTATCTAAATTATGGAAGCAGAAATAGCATGAATATACAAAACATTAAGGTTGTTATTCTTATAATTATCAATATGCAAACATGTTGAAGAAAATATAATAAACTCAAAGACATGAGTATGCAAATTTCCTTGGTGATTTATTGCATTATTATGCAATGAATTCAAAGTATAATTTGGCCAATTAAAGAATGCCCACCAATTATTCTTTAAAATATCTTATATTCACAAAGTTAGTGTGAGCTTGTAAAGAGAAAATATTCTAGTGTTTGTGTATGTCAATAATACCTTTCTCTTATTTGTTTGTTAGATTTACATGCTAGAGTCCCTCACAGGAGTTGGTGAAATACTTATTCAACTCAATTCAGTTCAATCAGAATAGAACTGGAAGGGACCTTAGAGGTTGTCTAGTCCAACCCCCTGCTCAAGTAGGAGATCCTGTACAATTTGAGACAAGTGGCTAAGTCTCTTCTTAAAAACCTCAAGTTAAGAAGCACCCACAACTTCTGAAGGCAATCTATTCTTCTGGTTAATTGTCCTCACTGTTAGGAAGCTTCTCCTTAATTCAAGGTTGCTTCTCTCCTTGAGTAGTTTCCATCCATTGTTTCTTGCCTTGCCTTCTGGTGCTTTAGAAAATAAGTTGACCCTTTCTTCTTTGTGGCAGTCCCCCAAATACTGGAATACTGCTTTATGTTACCTCTAGTCCTTCTTTTCTTTTCTCTAGACTAGCCATACCCGAATTCCTGCAACTGTTCTTCCCATGTTTTTATTCCCAGGCCCTTAATCATCTTAGTTGCTCTTCTTTGCACTTTTTCCAAAGTCTCAACATCTTTTTTTGTAATGTGGTGACCAAAACTGGATGCAGTATTCCAAGTGTGGTCTTACTAAGGATTTATAAAGTCATACTAATACTTCACGTGATTTTGATTCTATCCCTTTGTTTATACAAGGGCAATTTGGAAATAAACCTCCATTTGATTATCAATGACAGACACTTGCACATACAGAACTTTTATTATATACATTAGAAAACTACAGCATTACATTACTTTTTGACATAATCACCATTCAAATTGAGGCATCTTTCATAATGCCTTACAAGGTTTGAAATTCCTTAGAAGTCGCTCGGTGCCAAATCTGGGGTATGGGAGGTGGTGATCAAAAACATCCCAATGGAACTGCTTCAAAAGTTCTTGGGTGTGTCTAGTGGTGTGGGTGAGCACTATTGTGAACTAATACCACACCAGAAATCAGTATGCCCCGATGCTTGTTATAGATGGCCCGTCTGAATTTTCATAACGTTTCACAGTAGACTTCTGAATTGATGGTCGAACCACATTCCATGAACTTCACTAGCAGTACTCCTTTGGCATCTTCACATTTGGTGGGATTTTCTATGGCAGGGTTCATTTTCAATTGATCTAGCAGACAAGTCAACTGGAACACAACCTTCTCCTTCCAGTCCTCACTGCCTACTGAACTACTGCGCATGGCACCATAGGACGGGCATTGCTATCCCTGCCTATTTCTCGCACGTGCTCAAACAGAAGTTTATTTCCAAATTGCCCTCATACAACCAAGGATTGTATTAGCTTTTTTGGCTGCTGCCACACACTGCTGGCTCATGTTTAAGTGATCGTCCACTAGGATTTCAAAGTTCCTCTCACAGTTACTGTTTTTGAGCTAGGTTTCATCTAATCTGTACTTGTACCTTTGGTTTTTCCTGCCTAGATGTAAAATCTTGCTTTTCCCCCCACATTAAATTTCATATTGTTGGATAGGGCCCATTGTTCAAGTCTATCAAGATCTTTTTGGATCCTGAGTTTGTCTTCTGGGGTGTTGGCTATTCCTGCCAGCTTAGTGTCATATGTAAATTTGATGAGTTCCCCTTCTATTCAATTATTTTTCCTTATGAGCAACTCAACGAGGGGTTGAAAGACATTTACCTTTACTTCCTTTTTATACCGTAATCTAGAGATATGAACACACTTCAATACCCTAATTATTTCATGTCACTGTGTTTCACACAAAATGTTCAAACAAAACTGTTAATAACAATAAGTTATTGGAGGAAATGTGACTTGATGCTTGACTTCAAAAAGACAAAAAACAAGGTTGTTGAGCTTAAGCTAACATTGATGTTCTTTGTAGGGAGAACTAGAAAATATTTTACCCTCCTTTAAAGTTTTATAGTTTGAAAAGTTATTAAATTTAGTGGTGTTTTCTGATAATTAACAAGCAACTGTTCAATTATACTAGTAAAAATTTTTTTCTAAAAAGTGCAACCACCAATATGTTTTGTTATATATTGTTTGCACCATTAGAAATGGTACATTTATTTTAAAAGTTTAAATCTTAATTAATCAAATTATTTAAATTAAAATAATTAAAAATTATTTTAAATGTTTAGCCCTTAAAAACCTTAGTTCACAGAGCTCATAGAGCTATCAGTGTATGAAGAAAATATTAATCCAAAATCTTCCGTTTATATGTTCAGTGTGTCTCTATTATAT